TTCTGCCTGCCTTCTCTGTATATTATACAATCAGGATCTGCACGACATCTTTCACTGCAATTTCCTTGTAATTACAAATATATGTAAACATATTGAAATCATTTATCATTTATTATGTCAGTGCATCATGCAAAAGTTTTGAAAGATATCACTTTCGTTCATTCAGATGAAATTAAGTTCCGAAATTTTTTGGTCACCCAGTATATGTTCATAAAAATTGATTTATCATATTAAAGGCAAAATGTGGAAGAGCTGACAAAATGGCTTTCTGGCTTTAGAGATGATTGCATGGTTTAAAACCTTCTCTGATGATTCTTTTTTCAAACTATGCCTGAAGGTCCATTCAAAGTCAGCTGTTGAACCTTGAAAAGCTATATTTAGACTGCGGATTGAAAGTTCATTTTCAACTCATCTTTATGGCGATAAACCAGAAGTGAATTTTTAAGTCGAGTAAATGGTGATAATGTTCTCTTTATGATTCAAGCGGGGAAGTCAAAACATTTCTAATAAAAAATCATCGTAATGATTTGAAGATCATATAGAAGTATTTAAAATTGGATCCACAGTAAAATCTGAAATGAATGAAATTTTTATTTGCCGATGTGAGAGAATATACTTCCAGTTTTATAACCATTGATTTTATTGATTAACTTTTTCCAAAATGTGCTTAAATATGGTATGCATATTTGTGTTGATTGTTAAATTACAAATAGGTTGGGTGAAGTCATTTGATCTCGTCCCAGAGGCAATATTTTGTCATTTCTAGCACCGAGAATTCCTTTAATATGACTCACCATTTTCACATTGAGATCCTCCAATACATTGTGCACTTCTATTACAAGCCCCTGGTGGTTTAGTCGTCTTTACACATCTTCCATTAAATAATTCCAGTCTTTTCATCATCACAGTGCCAATTAGATCTGCAGTCTCCATGACTGTCACACTTTCTTGCTTTTGCTTAAAAAAGGTGTGACAAGATCCGACAGATGTGACAGGTTTTACCTTTTTACATTTTAATGTATTCATGTTCTTCAAATTATTCCTTTTCTTATCTTACTTTCTTTGTAAATTGTGGTGCCATGATAAAAATCATATACTTTCTATGGGAATCAAATTATAGATTGACCTATGCTAGCTTTTTTATTCAATGTATTATTATTCTAGTGTGCTAAAATTAAATACGCCTGCCATCTATTTATCCATATACAGGGTGTTCAAAAAAACGCAACCCAAAGAAATCACTATATCTTGGAAAATACTTATCCAATTGCACTCATTTTTTTAAGGAAAGAAAGAAGAGACTGTGCATGTAGAGAAACTGTAGTTATTTACTTGTAAAACATGAAGCCTTGGACACCTGCTCAAAAGACATTAGTATTAAAAGATACAAAAAACGCAGTCAAAGGTGACTGCCACAGCAATAAAACTGAATAAATTTTTAACCATAGTGTTTTGGCACTTCAGATTTGGCATAAATTATCCTCATTCAATGTGTGGTGAATTTGTGGAGTTTCATCAAAATCACTCCAGGGACTTAAGAGTCATGGTCAAAATGCCTTCTTAAGTCTGCCTGAACCAGGGCGTTTGGCTGCGTTTTCAACGCATTTCGACCATAACTGTAAAGTCCCTGGAGTGATTTTGATTTCACTCTACAGATTTACCATACTTTGAATGAAGATGATTTGTGCCAAATTTGAAGAGCTAAAACACTATGCTTAGAAAGTTATTCGGTTTTATTGCTGTGGCAGTCACCCCTGCCTGCGTTTTTCGTATCTTTCCAATTCTAATATCTTTTGAGCAGGTGTCCAAGGCATTATGTTTTATAACCAACCAACTAAGGAGCTATACATACACAGTCTTTTCTTTCTTTCCTGAAAAAAAATGAACATAATTGCATTAATATTTTCCAAGATATAGTGATTTCTTTGGGTTGCATTTTTTTGAACACCCTGTATTAGCATGTTCTCTATGTGTTGAGAGATGTTTGATAAATGTTAGATCTTTGAATTAATGTTTATTTTATTAGATTATCAACTAGATCTATTCTAATTTGTGATGTCACAAACTAGAACAACTGGTCTATAATAAAGTATGACGTCTAAACATGAGTGCAAATATTTGTTCTCCTGGTTTGTTTAACATATTAGAATCGTAACAAAGACCCTCAATTCTATGATTTACATGTATGTCAAATATATGACCTCAGATTTTATTTTGTCAATTGCCAAAAACCTGAAATGCTCTGATATTTTGGTCTTCTGACAGTGACCCAAAAAATCACTGGACATATATTGTGCCATAAGTCAACAAATCATAGTATTTATTCCTTAACTATAGTACCACTTACCTTATGATGTAGCTAATGTTAAGAAACATATGATTTGTATACCCTTCATTATCCCATTCAGTACATGTACTTTATAATTGCAGTCTCAGATATCTAAACATTAAAAAAAATCTGACCTTTAACATTATGAATTCTATAAAGTGCGTAACATTTTAATTTCATTTAATTGATATTGCGGCACTGATCAATGACATTATATGTAGATATATGACTTTCTGTCTGCCTGCCAATAACTAAAATGGCAAAATTGCAAAATTTCTCATATTTATACATATTTTTTTTCATGTCTCCCTTTTGATTTACAGATATACTATCAAGGATAAATATTTTTCCATCCATGCCAGTCATCGTGAGCCATTGCTTTGTACCCCTAGGTATATGCTTTCATGTCATGTTGCCTCTCTTACAAGTGCAATGCCCATGTTTACTAAGTTGATCGATCCCAGTGATCGTAATGTATCAGTTTTATCAACACTATTTACAATATTTAATGTTTCGTTGAACATAATTATAAACAAATTAACATTTACAAGGAATTTTAATTAAAGTAATGAACATCATCATCGATGATGTTTGTTAAATTAGACATGGAAGGTTAATAATTTCATAATAAATCAATAGTAATATTTCCTTAATAAATAATTGTATAGGCTAGGGTGTCCCAGGCCTCTCCTTGAATGTCTCTTTCCTTAGGGTTCACATGTTATAAAAGTGCATATTATAAATTTTAGGATACAGCTAGGATTCTAAGCTCTATTTTTGAGGGTTTCAAATGACATGTCTGGTCCATCATGCATATTGTATAGGCCTATGACACAATGTTTCTCAGAGAAACTCTTTTTCTATGGGTTAGAATAATATGATTGATAATAGATATAGTTGAGGACATGTCTTCGCTAGGTCTCTAAACTTTCTATTACTTGACATGATTTGTGCATATTGTATAGGACAGGATGTCTCAGAGCTCTCATGTTCTCTTTTTAAAGGGTCACATGAATTTGCGTACGAGGATGATCAATAAGTAATGGATGCTTTTTTAAATAGATGTTTTTTATTGATGAATCGTTCAATTATCTTTCAGACCCCAAAATATATAATACAATTTTTTATATCCGTGAATGAGATATAGGCACTCCGGGACTTACAATTATAAAGTTAAAGAAATTATGTCAAAGGATTTGTTTCCAGAATGCAATCTTGATATTTCCCAACAATGAAAATATTTTAATTGTCTGACATTTAAACTGGCTATAAATTCATAATTAGCAATCCAAAAGATTTGAGTCTACTTCTTCATTATGTAATAAGACTAAAACTCGTGATTCAAAATCTGAATTCGAAAAATGGCGACAGTTTAATTATTAGAGGTGTCACGGGTCAGATATTCTTTTGGCCGGTTCGGGCCCAAAAAGTGTGTGGGTTGGGTAATTTTGAGTCAGGTCAGAAGACAATAGAAAAATGAATTTAGCACTAGTGTAACTGAAATGACTGGGTGAATATAGAGCACATTATAAGACTGTTTAAGCCTGCATTACTGCATATTATGCTTTGATCGAGGAAAATTGATAAAAAACTTAGCATTAAATTGTAGAGAAGAACTATAAATTATTTAATGTTCGTAATATATATGTTTACAAGAAATAGACCAGCTAAAATTTGAAATTATTTCCGGGAATATAAAGCATTTTACGATAATTTAAGATATTCCTGAGTGTTCTAACCCGACCCGAAATTGGTAAGTAGCTGTTCGTGACCCGACCGAGCCTTCCGACCCGAAATTCGGGTCTACATCAGGTCGGTGTGACACCTCTTTTAATAATGTTACCATTAAAAGTGGTGACATATGTTATGGTCTCCATTGTTGTGATGGCAGGTGGCGGTTTTAGGTTTGCGTCTGTAAAAAATTCTTAAAACTTCCAATAACTTAACAAATACTTTCAAGATTGACTTCATTTTTTCAAAATCATCTACAAACTCAGAAGTTCACATCTGACTTTAGATTTGAGATTTAACCTTCAATGACCTTCTCAAGGTCAAAAAGGTATTTTTCCAACTTTCTTAAAATTGACAATTTTTTCAAAATCATCTACAAGTTCTCAGAAGTTCAAATCTAATTTTTAGATTTAATACTTGACCTTCACTTACCTTCTCAAGGTAAAAGGGTCAAATATATCGTTTTTAAATTTGCTTCAAATTCCTTGTTATGGTTCTAGATTTAATATTTTGATAATGGAACTTAAATGATGGTGGAGGGGGAGTAATATACATTATTTTGGTTTGGGATAGTTGGTTTTTTTTCTGTATGACTGGTGTACTCTTAGATGTGTTCTGTAACAATTGTTGGTCATTTTCTTTTTGCAGTTGTACCTACATATTTGTATCCAGCCCTACATAGAACCCCTCTTACTACCTTTGTTAAAGGGCAATTGAAATATAATAGGGACAAACTACTCACTCTCCCTATTGGTAACCTTTGTCTGTTTAAGCTGAATTCATTGATCAATTTATATAGTTTTTGTGGTACTTAAAATTCCTGTCCTTTCTTGTTCCCTCTTTGTTTGATATAGTTCATATGATTTGTTTCTAACTATTACATCATATTATGTGCTTTCTAATTCTCATTCAAGATGGGGTGAAGAAGAACATGAATAAATATGTTCAATGCAATGTGATTTTATTCAGATAGATCATAAAGTACAATCTTTGGTCAAGGTTAATTATACTATCGAGTGGATATTCTGAGTTGATGTTACTACTTTTGACCAGCATATAAGTAACAGTGTCTGTTAGCCTGACAGGATGGCTTTAAGTTTACACATGGCTTCATTACTGCTGCAATATTGGCAGTGAACTCTCCCTTCTTGGCCACTTTGGTAAGGTACCCACTGAATATTAATGGTGATAGACCCCGGATTTTGCCAAGTAAATCTTTTTTGTCATATCTAAAGTAGGAATAAAAATAGTTAGTATATTAACATGCTTCATTGCACAAAATTAGGAGCAGATGTGTTATGGTTGTGCTCTTTATTGTTGCGAGTCTTATTGTCACAATAAATGAGGTTGTAACTTGATACCTGACCATGGCATGGACGACTAATTGTTGTCATATTCAAAATAATGGCCATTTCGTGTGACACAGCATATTCAACATGCATTCCAAGTTTTTAAGACCCCAAGTGGCTGTGTATTGCAAGGGGGTTTGAAATGCATTTTGAGATCACCCTACAGTATGGCTTTATTACATTATAACTGTAGAGTTAATAATTTGCTGGAGAAGTTCGATTAACATACCTGATCCTAGCTGTTAGATTCTGATGTCCAAACTGCCCTCTGCGTACAAAGTCACAATGATAGGTGACATTTACAATGGATCCTGGTCTTATGTGATCAGGTCTTTCTAGGTTTGGTCCATAGCAGCTCAGACGGCATTGAACAATTTGCACTGCCACTGTCATGAGGAAATATTAACAAAGATGAAATATGACATCCAGAAAAATATTACAATGATATTTTGTTTCGTTTATTGATTTAATTGATGAGATTGACGTGAAATTGATACAAGGAATACCCATAGAGATGTTATAAGTGTTCAAGATTGTTCTGAATATCTTTTAATTCACCATGACAATGAACTATGGGATTTGAAATATGTCTGAAAACTTGATGGTCAGATTGACAGTCATTATCTATAGGCAGGTTATAGTTTGGAAGCTACATTGGTTTCCATTGCGCTTCAATGCATTCTTATTGTTACTATTTTGTTTAATGACCAGTGATTCCAAATGTTCTACTCTAATTTATAAACATGTACACATTACAGCTCTATACTTGCCCAGGCATTGTCCATTTCTGCAGAACATTTTCCCTTGGCATTCAGCGCTTCTTCCACATCGATATCCTCTCTCGTGCTTCATCTCACATCTGCCTTTCTGTGTTCCACCCAACCCTCCAGCAGTACAGTACTTGTTTCTACCATTCCTGTGCTGTAAGCAGTCATTGTCAACTTTGCATGTCTCCTCACATGTTCCTACAAATGTATTCCATTCTGTTAACATTTATTGAAAATATTTACATTTGTGTCTCGATGGATATAATTAAATAGGTGTAGTATACACATTCAGCAAGTAATGCCTTTGACTGATTTATTTTTTGTATCACAGTTATTCTTCAACAAAAACAAATAATTTGATGAATTAAATATTTTGTTTACAGATATACAGATCTTACATGATGAATACTTCTATGAACTGATTTTGGTTTAAAAAATGTGTTTAAAAATATATATTTATTAGTAGATAAAACTGAAATATATTGTGATAAGGATAACTGACTTATAATTAATGTTATGAATGATGAAAACGTATATTACCGTTTCCCAATGGCACACATTTGGAAAGCTGAATACATTCATCATTTTTTCTGCAGGGTTTCCCTATGCCTACCATAGGCACGCATTTATGTAATTTTTTGTCACACCAATATTTATATTTGCATTCTCCGCTGAAGTTGCAGTCACTTTGGACTCCCAGCACTCCTAGTTAGAAAATATGTTTTTATTGTTTCTTATCCATTAACCCTAGAAGCCCTAAGGTAAAAATAGTCACACGAACACCCAAGGGGAGTCAAAAGGGCACCCCCCTTGTAAAAATTTAATTAGGAGAGCTAGGATGTTCAAACTTTTTCCACATATACTTCATTCAATTATCTACAAGTTTGTGTAATAAGTTTAACAACTACGATGATGTAAGATTGCGTAATTTTATTCTTAAGACAACACGTATGGTAGAATTAGTGCTAGCTTTTTTCTGATTTTTGTCTATTGGAGCTGATGATTACATCGCAATAAATTAATAACACATATGTAAAGTTAGGATGTTCAATTTTTCCCAAAATATACTTCATTCATTTATCTACAACTTGGTGTAATAACTTTAACAACTATGATGATGGAAGATTGTGTAATCTTATTCTAAAGATAACACGTATGGTAGAAAAAGTGCTAGCTTTTTTCTGATTTTGTCTATTGCAGCTGATGATTACATCATAATAAATCAATTATCCTATGTACAATTTTGCTGATTTTTTCAGGAAACATTTGTCATATATGTAGCTTTAGCTACTGAAAATTTGAAGACCCTACCAGATGCCAATAAAAAGTTATGGGGAAAAACATAACGGGGGGTCATTTTGACCCCCCGCCCCCTTAGGGCTTCTAGGGTTAAAAGAGTCGTAGACTTCTGATGCTAACTATATAGCCCAAGATTTTTTTCATAATGATCTGTAAATTGCATTAAGGTTTGTATAATGATTTTATATCTCTCATCTTTTAATTGATTAATTAATTTATTAATTAAGTCAATTGATTAATTCTCTTTGAAAATTACAGTTAAGCCTCAATGAATTGTGCAAGTTAAATATCTTTACAAATCTATATTTTAGGGGTAACATTTATATTTTTTGTCAAAATTCAATCTAAAACAAAATTAAAAAATGTAAATCTATGTTTACGAGTAAATATTTCTTTTAAGACCCTGATTACTAAGTTTTTAAGTCAATGTTAATAAGGAGTTTTAAGTATTACATTTAAGTATGAGATAATAATATAAGTTCCTCTTACCTGTTGTTGCTATGATGACAACTGCTAATAAGAAGGCACTCATATTGATTTCAATTCTCTGATGTTTTAGGTGGAAAAAAAGTTATACTTTTATAATGTTTGGAATTATGTATGTTGATGGAGGGAACACAGAACATGTGATTTGATTACTAAGTTTATGACCAATAGGAAATCATGATATTTTAAAATCATGGTGACATATCATTTTTAAGTATCGTAATATAATTTTTTTTATTACATCCATATAATTGCTTGTGGTTGGATGATTTCACATTGTCAAGGTATCCTTGATATTATGGAATAAATTGTCTATTTACTTGTTATACTTTAACATTATATATTGTTCTTTTTCTTCTCTCAGTTTTCCATTTTAGCTATTAATTGCTCTCATATATACAAATACTTTGGTAAACAGGGTTTGAAATTGGTCCTATTATTACTCTGATATTATTATCATATTGTCCCAGAAATAAATCCCAAATTCATGTCCACTCAGTGAATAACCTCTTTGAACTTTCTATGACATAAGACTTACTGTACCACTGTATATCATTCTGCCATCTCCAGTCACAACAATACCAGTGCGATAATGCGATAATCAGTTCCAACCTCGCGAACTACGTTCCTTCCAACCGAACCATGGTTCTTACAACGCGAATATCGTTTCTTTAGTCGCGAACCTCTTTTTTCCCTCTCTTAAACATATTTCTCTACTTGCAAACGGAGTTCCGACATCGCAAACCACACTTTTTAAGCCTGAATACTCAGATACTTATTTTAAAGTATTGCAAATGTTTTTAATAGTCTGCTCACATTTCATTACAATTGATGATCACACATATTAAATGAGGTGTCCTAGAACATAGATATGCTTGTATGCATACACGCATGAAGACTAGCAACATACAGACATAGTTATTCTATAATGTTTTTGTTTATTCCTCAGTTTACATGGATAACCTTCAAGTGTTTTTATTCTTGTATAAATATAATAATAAATATATCAAATGACTAGTTAAATTCTCACCTCACTTTTGCTTGTTGTAGATGACAATAAGAAAAATGAATCATGAATCTAGATTATCTCATGAGTCTAGATAAAAACACTATCATTGATATGTATATAAATGTATTTCATACCTACTGAGGTACATATGATAACAAGCGGGAATATATCGTGTATCTAGGGACCGGGGTGGATACACGCTGTATCCATCCCGGTCCCGCTCCTGAAAATTTGATTTTTTTTTCAATTGTTTTTCAATTTTTTCAATTTTTTTTCACATTTAAATTTGAAAATCTCGCAAACTTTAAGACTAAGAAAACGCCTAGTATCTTAAGTGTGCTTTGGAATTTGGGATCTTTATAAGGTATGATGTACCTAGAACCTCGGTAGGTATGAAATACATCTGTTATGTATGGTCGGTTTTGGATTTTGGTTTTTGGTTTTGGTCGCGTGAAATATGTATATATCCCTCGGTCCCTGCGGTCCCTCGGGAGATACACATATTTCCCTTGGGATAAACCCTGTATCCAAAACCTCCCAGTACATAACCCTATGTATAATGATTTATTTAGTTTAGATGAAAGCAATCAACAAAGTTTTTTACTGTCCAGCATATAAAGTGCATTTTCTGTTTGCCACACATCTATCCTTCTTGTTAAAACATCTCTTCAAAACTGCTTTAAGACTTACTGCAAACTCTCTAGGCTAGGCAAATGGAAGTTTAACATCCCAAAAATTGCAACAGTTTTTAAATTAGGCTTATATTGTATATTGATATCAGTTGAAAAACATATCAAAAATATAGAAAAATGTATGCAGTGGACAAATATGAAATGTCACGTTCTAGGTACCCCCCTCCAAATTTGAGTATGGGATTGTAAATATTTTTTTATTTCAAAATGGAATGCTCTTGTCAACTAAACGAGTAATATTATGATAGTTTACTGACATAAGAGCAACTAAAAATTGTTAACCAACTATTTGAGTGTAAAAATTGGCATTTCTAGCCCCAATTATCTGAAAATAGGCCATCAAATAGCCCGAATTTAATTTAACAATGTATTTATTTCTGTATCAATTCATCAGAATTGCATGAAAAAAATCAAGGAGGTTATTGTACACCTGGCCATTGTATTTGATAAGTATCAGGGTCATAAAGTGAATATTGAGTCTGGAAAAATTATTTGAAATTTCAATATTTTACCACACCCACTTTTGGGGTGACCTTACTTTTGATTAATTACTTCAAAGATATGTCATATTTGAACTCAATAGCACAACTAAATTATTTGTAAAGGCTTATTTTGTCCTGAAATCAGTTTTTTGATGTTTTCAGGATAGGATTGTGTAAAAAAAAGTAGAAAAAACAGCAAATGCCAGGTGAAATATAGGGGAAGCCCTACTTTTAGTTGATAACTGCTAAATTATCAAATGTTTTTTCCTTTTAAATTCAATTTGATATATAATATACCTTTTCTGGTAAAACAGAGAATGATTTGTTAGAAATTAAGTAGAATCAGTGGTCTAAAAATATCCTTGAAAAGGCAACAAAATGTTAAATATCCCTGTCCCTGACATCAGTTTATTAATACAGTATGAGCCAAAAAGGTAACCCAACCAAATGTTTGTTAATAACCCAGTCATTCAGCATGGGTTTGACATCATATTTGGCACAATTACCTTGTTCAATGTTCTTTCATTCTGCTAAGTGTCAGTGATCTATCCTTAATAGTCACGATTTTATGGCCATTTACAAAATGTGCTCAAAATATCGAAATGTGCCTAACTGACTGGATATCAATATCAAGTCCAGTTTTTTTATCTGTGGACCTTTTTTCTATACTAGCAACACTTGAAACATTAAAACAAGAGATAAGAATGAAGATGAGAGCCATAACACAAGATTTTTATGCTCTTGATTTGAACAACTACGCACGATACGTTCAAGTTGGCCTCCAGGCATGATGTTACGCGGTATATGGCATACATTTATGGTTGCGCGGTATTTGTGATACGGGTGAATGTGCCATACTCACCTGCGGAATATGGCATATTCCGCAAGTGAGTATGCGATATTCCGCAGTGAATATGCGATACATTGATTTCAGTGAATACCCGATACTCATCTGCGGAATATGTCATACTCACTTGCGGAATATGCCATACACCGAAGGTGAATATGACATATACCGCAGGTGAAAATGTGATACAGAAAGCTTTGATTTGATTGGTTACGAGAGTCGACTCTAAATGTAAAACTACGCTGGATTACCAATATAGTTAGTGTGCCGAGTACTAATATATGAATCCTGGATTGATTGAGTAAGTTTATTACGTGAGATTGGTGACTGATACTTCTGCTAAGTTAATATATTCGATACACAGTACTGTTGATTCAGTAATCATTATCATAATTAATAAAAATTTACTTGTTCGTTCAATCAATACAATTGACAATCCGTACTTCCGTATCACGTTCTCATTGGTTAGTGTGTATGCCATATACCGCAGGTGAATCTGGCATACACCGCAAGTGAATATGCCATATTCGTTGCGGAATATGACATCTTTTTGTATCGTGTTTACCGCGTAATACATGACACCTATATTTCATGGCATGGTATAAAATGGCCATAAAATCGTGACCACTAGAGATAGACCACTGAGATTGGGTAGATTGATAATACATTGACCAAGACTCAACTCATGCAGGATGACTGGACTGAGTTATTAAGATTTGTTTGGGTTACCTTTTTGGCTCGCCCTGTATTAAGGAAAAATTGTTACTTTTGACTAAGGTGTTCTTAACCACACAGTGATATTGAGAAATGAAATGAAAAAGTTCAACTGAACAATTGGATTTCAAGATGAAATTCAATTAATGAGGAAAAGGTTTCTACGTTAATAAATCCTACTGAGTTAACTAGTGTAACACAAAGTAAATCCCTGGTCTTTATACAGCTGTACAGGGCATGGTTCGATTACGTTATGTTCATTGTCAAAAAGCTGCCTTAATTTTGTAATCTTAACCTTCATATATGGCAACAATCAGTTACAAACTTGTCTATCACCAAACTTCATCAGGGGCGGATCTGGGAACCAACAAGGGGGGGGGGGCAAATTTCAGGTCTGAGAAAAAAACATCTGGGCTTGCGCGGAAAAAACTTATGACCAAATAGGCCCACTTAAGGCCTTTTTCGGACCCAAATTTTTTTCTGGGCCCACCCAAGGGTACCCTGCGTGCAGAGTCTAGTTAAACTACAGACGAAGACAAAGCTCTCTTTTAAGAAGTGAAGTCAAACGAATGCAAAGGGTAACCCAAGGGGGGTGGGCGGGCCCCCAGATCCGCCAGTGTTCATTATTTAGTCATCATTATTTTCAATCAGTAATGGAGGTATTTGCACAAATACCTTTGCATACCTTACATGCCATAGAACAATTATTCCATTTTTCTGCAAGTACATCTCATAGAAGTACAATCTGCCTTCCACACACAATGGATGATCTCTGAGAGAGGGGAGCTGCATTTAGGCAATTGGTACAAAAGCTTCATTGCTTATTTCCCAGCCCAATTATAATGGAGGCAGTTTATTTCCCTCCCACTCCAGGATCTGATGGTACACTCTATAAGTGGTATTCCGCAGCATCAGAAGTTGGAGGAAGAACATGGGGCTGCAATAATTCAGATCTTGCTGCTCTCTTTTAATAGAATTTTTGAAACCTAAGTTCATTTAGGGTTTCACCATTTTTCCACCATAAATTGACAAAAGAGCATGTTCCTCTGCAATGACAGAGTTGCTTGCATTTCACTGGTTTTCCACTTAATTACGTTTTAACAAAATGTCGGAACATCGAAGGTATGAGTTTTCTTTTCTCCTTATTTCACACGTTGTAGGCAGAATTTCTGCAACATTGTTATCACAAACATGAATCAGTATTATATGTTTAAAAAATGTACCTGTACATATTTGCGAACAAATAGTTCAGAAGACAACAGAATTGTCGATATAATTCCTCACTTTAGTTACATAAACGGTATTTTGATAAACAGTTAAGATCTGCACTTTTAACCCAAATCGTTTATGTAACTTAAGTAAGGAATTAAATCAACAATTCTGTTGTCTTCCGAGCTATTTTTGCGCAAACATGTACATTTTCTAAAACATATGATACTGATACACGATCACGATTGTAAGAAAAAACATCGTGGGGATTCTGCCTATAACGCGTGAAAAAAGAAAAATCGTACCTTCGACGTTTAGACATTTTGTTACTGAAACGACCCATTTGGTAATTTAAAAACAACCGCTTGTTTTCTCAAGAACTCTATCTTTTTTATCTGCCTCAATGATAGCTTCTTGTCTATGCCAGGTATAACAAGAATGCGGTGTCACTCCCCAGAAAAGATAAACAAAAAACAATCTTATTTCATTTATATTCCAACATTTTGTTTCTTGGGTTACTGCTTTTGGTTCAGGTTTAAAGAAAATGTTGAAGTTTGTGTTTACAAGGAGATCTGTATGAGTACTGTATTTGAGGTTTGGACACTTTGGATTACAGTTTTCACAATAACAATATCTGCGTCCGATTCTGATTGTAGCACATGTACACTCAATGTTTTCCAACCTGACAGACAGTACCATCATTCCTACGCACTGAAATTATATTAATGAAAGACTCCCCAGATATATGAGATTTAAATGTGCTCTATCAGTTTAAATTCCGTTTAATAACCATAAATTCGTTTCTACAGCACTATACATCCAATTGATAGTTCCATAGTAATGTACTCTTATGTGATGATTTATTTATCTGATGAATTTAAATATATGCAAATTTTGTAATTGCGGATTGTAATTAATAATTTTAATTTAAACAATATTAAATTGCACAGAAACTACAACTTACATTATTTAGATAAGCCTAGTATAGAGCAGTTATCAAATACCCTAATATCAGAGTGGTGATTTGTAATTATTCATCAAATAAAAGTGAGGTCACCTTAACATTTCACCTGGTGCAACTAATAATTCCTATTTTTCATACTAATAAGATATACCTTCACAAAACTTGTATTTTAGATGATGACAAGCCTATATAAATGATTTAGATGTCAACTCTAACACAAATGTGATGCATTGTGGGAGTTAGTCATCAAAACTATAGTCTCCCCTATAGTGGGTGGGGCAAAACTATGAAAATGAAATAATTTTTTTCTTCCTAAGTATACAAGTTAGAATTCTGACACTCTCCAAATATGAAGTTCATATGAATATGTAACACCATGATTTTTTTCATGTTTTTCTGACAAACTGATCCTAAAATATCTAAATAGATATGTGATAACATGCCTGTTTTGTGGCCTATTTTGTTATACTTTGGGGTCAAATGACCAATTACTGGTCTCAAAAATGATTAAAATAATATTTTAATTATTTGTGAATATGTTATCTATCATAATAAAGCTTGAATACTTGACTAACGTATTCCATTTGGGAAGAAAAAATTGTTTCCTACCAATACTCAATTTTGGGGTAGGGTTGTAGGGGGTACCTAGGAAGTGAAATTTCATATTTGTCCACTGCATACATTTTTCTATATTTTTGATATGTTTTTCAACTGATATCAATACATAATATAAGACTAATTTAAAAACTGTTGCAATTTTTGGGATGTTTGGGCCTTTTATGAGCCCATTTGCTTAGCCTACTCCCTGCCTCGCCACTTTAGTAACAGAGCCACTGATGGTCTGTGGAGAAATACCGTCAACCCTCAACTCAACTTTCCTATGGTTCAACCTAAAAAAAATTACTCTTTGTTAAGGTTGTCTAAAATGATGGTTGGTGCAACGATCTTGATATATATGAGGACCTCAATGTTGTATAATAATTGTGTTTGCCATTCGAACTTCATTTTGAATGCGTGGACTCGGCACAGGTTATATCAGTGACCAAGATAAGTAAAAATGTAAGATATAATACACAAACACATAGAGCACTGTATAACATTCCTTTAACCGACCTGATATTGCCTCTTAGTCGTGTATGTCCCATTTCTTCCCTTCTGATAAATACACAACTGTAGGTGACATTTACAATTGATCCTACCGTGATCGAATCTGGTTTCTTAGGATTCGGTCCATAGCAGTTCAGACTGCATTGGACCACCTCCTCAGCCACTGTAAGTCAAAGAAATTAAATTACAATTGAAAATCATAATAACGCAGATGCGAGTAGGTAGTTACCATTTTCGCCACCAGGTGGCTCGTTCGGGTCAGATAACATGGCGGGTATAGTAGAAAGTTCCATTTAACTTAAATTCCATCTGTTTTAGTGGTTCAATTTTTATATAACCCTTATGTATCTAATAGTTATGCAAATTAGAATATGTCCGGTAAAGGAACATTTTATCCGTCCAATACAAGAAAAGATATTTCACGTTTTGTGATTTTGTAACATGGGGTCTATGAGAAGAAGTCACATTTTCAAAAAAAAGTAAATTTTCAAAGTTGATAAACAATTTTCGAAACCATTTTACAAGATGTACGTGTACTTTTACATGTGGATTTCAAATATGACATCACTTAGACTGAATTTTGAATATTTAATGACGTAAATCAAGATTATTTCTATTCGCATCTAGTCTATATCACAGAGACACTGTCATTTAGTATACTTTGCCTTATCAATCATGGTAGTATTATTTCTATATTCTAGTAAACTGTACGCACTACTGCATTGTCCATTTTTGCAGAACATTTTACCAGCGCATTCTGGTCCTCTCCCACAGCGATATCCCCTTTCATGTTTCATCTCACATCTGCCTTTCTGTGTGGCAGCAGTTCCTCCCACACTGCAGTACTTGTGTTTGCCATCTTTGAATTGTAAGCAGTCACTGTCAACTCTACAAGTTTCCTCACAAGTGCCTGATGAGAAGATTGAAAACGGGGATGTGTTCATTGGATTCATGATTTCGACTTTTGCAATTGTGCTGGTATAACTTTTAGACATTTCTGTTTTAGCCATGTTTACATATAGGTGTTTACATATTCAGTTTTATATGCCCTTTGAGTGTCTATCTGCTTTATTTATTACTTCCTGGAGTGAAAGTCTTTAGCAGTCAACTTATTTTTGACATGACCATTTTGGCACATTATTTATAATTTATATTCAAATCTCTTCTGAATTTCAAAAAGCATCAACCATTGATCATGTAAATAAATAGAGGATATCCTATGATTTATGAGTGATATGATTTTTATCCACGAATGGATATGATATCTGCACGAGCGAGCGTAGCGAGAGAGTGCAGATATCAATATCCATGAGTGGATTAAAATCATATCACGAGTAAATCATAGGATGTTCTTTTTATTCCATAGTTAAAGAGTACTTGTCATATTCTCCACCTCCAATTATCAAAAGGAATAACAATACATAAATATCAAGTTAAAACTTTTATTACAATAGTTAGCCTATCAAACAATATTTACACAATATTTTACAAACAAATAGATCAGTAAATAGACAACAGTCTAATTAATAATTAAAAAGCCAACAGTCAATAGTCATGTTCACATATCATGGCCAATAATCATTGTAATTGTGACTGTGATTAGTCACTTATCAATATTTTACCAGTCATATAACAGTCTATAGTCAATAGTCATGTTCAAATATAACATATCAAAAATCCTTGTTACTGTGACTGCGATGGGTCACTTCTCAATATTTTATGTTTTGAAACACTTTCAACTGTGCTAGATGAAGGAAGAGTAATGTTAAAGCTAAAGTTCCCACCAGATATATGACTATTCTGGAAAATAGCTGGAAGGGGATTACCAGACTGAGACATACTTGATATAGCACATTCCAATGACTGAGCCTCATTTATTTTGTGATTTTCCTTGTTGCCATTTGGCTTGAATGCACTAAGTGTATGACTTATATCCTCGTGTTCTCCAATGTCCAGTTCGTGGTAGTTTGTTATACTCTGTATGTTTTTATGCCCCGTCATCTGTTGTATATTAGTATCTGAAACTCCGCCTTTCTTCAGTGTTTTCACGAGAGTTTTCCTGCTGGAATGATTGCTTACATTGTCTGCACTAATACCAGCTGGAATTATACATGAAAAAGGTGTCAACAATGTATGAACATAAATCTGCCAAGTTTGCATACAAGCACTAGAAATAATATGAACTTGTGATCTCCCCAGCATTTGAAAATACAGTAGCCAAAATGAAAATATTTCTGTAAGCTTAAGAAAAAAAATTATGAAAATGGCATGATTTGACAAATTCTAGTTAGCTTTGTGGATTGGAACACTTTGAGAAAAAATTCTCTGGTAAAAACTACAGGAACATATCTATTAACATTGTATTCAATACTTGGGAAACACTTATTTAAGACTGTTTAATTACCTTTAGTGCAACATTTCTTCATTATTTGCATGAGGGTGTTTTCTCCCATAGGTTGTGTAAGATACCATGATCCCACTGGAACTTCATTCTTGCCTCTGCGAATGCCCAAGTAGAAGGGAGCATCATCATAGTTCATAGAACAAGGCCGCATGTTCTGATATTTCTTGAAGGCAGAGACTGGGTCTCTGGGGTCATTAGGATCTCCACTTGTAGCAAACATCTTTGGTGGGACCGTTCTGATATTGCGTGGAGTTTCGCCTGTTCTCGTTTTGGTTTGTCGTTCTTTAAATTCAATGTATTCTTTGCCATTGGAAGTTTTCAACCTGAGGTCCCCCCACTGTATATTTCGACTTTCACGCCCTGGTCGAATTCCGAAATGTACACAATTATTCCACCAAACAAGATTTGATAGTGATTCTGGATTGTCCAATGAAAAGGCCATCGATTCGAATAGTTTTTCAACTTCTTCCTCAGTAAGCGATCGTGATCGATTAGGTCGATTCCCTTTCCCAATACATTTTAACTGTTTCTGTTTTGATTTTAAAGTGTCTCTTGTTTTCTTGAATTGTGCATCTTCCAAAATATTATGTGGGTAGCCAGATTCTTGAAGATACCTCGATATGCTTGCAAATAGACTTCTAAGGCTAGTTGGTTCATACTCATTACCATCTTTCTTGGTCACATTCGTGAAAAAGATACTTAGTAATGTATTCAGTGCATCTGGTTCAATGTCTTTTATGTCTCTGTTTTCTCCTCTCACTTTCAAAAAATTTTCCAAGATTTTTATATCATAACGAGTCTTTTTGACAGTGTTTTTGTTCCTCTGTGCATTTATCAGATCGTCTGGGTCTTTATCTCCGATTTGTAAATGTCCACTTATCAAAGATTGTGAGTGTTCATCATTTGAATCATCAGAATCGTCCGAAATTAAATGATTTAGCTCAAATCTGCCAAACGATTCGGCCATGTTGACATTTAGCCTCGTTTTGAGACTGAAGTAGCAAAAATCCATTAACCATCGCATACGACGTCGTATGTCATGGCTAAAAAATCGTATGCTATGGTTAAGAGAAAAGTTGTCAAAAATATCATATTTTACCACTGATTACAAAAATACCGTTTTTATTTTGACATGTTATGCTATGAATATCATGCTAACTATGGAATAAATAGAGGATATCCTATGATTTATGAGTGATATGATTTTTATCCACGAATGGATATGATATCTGCACGAGCGAGCGTAGCGAGAGAGTGCAGATATCAATATCCATGAGTGGATTAAAATCATATCACGAGTAAATCATAGGATGTTCTTTTTATTCCATAGTTAAAGAGTACTTGTCATATTCTCCACCTCCAATTATCAAAAGGAATAACAATACATAAATATCAAGTTAAAACTTTTATTACAATAGTTAGCCTATCAAACAATATTTACACAATATTTTACAAACAAATAGATCAGTAAATAGACAACAGTCTAATTAATAATTAAAAAGCCAACAGTCAATAGTCATGTTCACATATCATGGCCAATAATCATTGTAATTGTGACTGTGATTAGTCACTTATCAATATTTTACCAGTCATATAACAGTCTATAGTCAATAGTCATGTTCAAATATAACATATCAAAAATCCTTGTTACTGTGACTGCGATGGGTCACTTCTCAATATTTTATGTTTTGAAACACTTTCAACTGTGCTAGATGAAGGAAGAGTAATGTTAAAGCTAAAGTTCCCACCAGATATATGACTATTCTGGAAAATAGCTGGAAGGGGATTACCAGACTGAGACATACTTGATATAGCACATTCCAATGACTGAGCCTCATTTATTTTGTGATTTTCCTTGTTGCCATTTGGCTTGAATGCACTAAGTGTATGACTTATATCCTCGTGTTCTCCAATGTCCAGTTCGTGGTAGTTTGTTATACTCTGTATGTTTTTATGCCCCGTCATCTGTTGTATATTAGTATCTGAAACTCCGCCTTTCTTCAGTGTTTTCACGAGAGTTTTCCTGCTGGAATGATTGCTTACATTGTCTGCACTAATACCAGCTGGAATTATACATGAAAAAGGTGTCAACAATGTATGAACATAAATCTGCCAAGTTTGCATACAAGCACTAGAAATAATATGAACTTGTGATCTCCCCAGCATTTGAAAATACAGTAGCCAAAATGAAAATATTTCTGTAAGCTTAAGAAAAAAAATTATGAAAATGGCATGATTTGACAAATTCTAGTTAGCTTTGTGGATTGGAACACTTTGAGAAAAAATTCTCTGGTAAAAACTACAGGAACATATCTATTAACATTGTATTCAATACTTGGGAAACACTTATTTAAGACTGTTTAATTACCTTTAGTGCAACATTTCTTCATTATTTGCATGAGGGTGTTTTCTCCCATAGGTTGTGTAAGATACCATGATCCCACTGGAACTTCATTCTTGCCTCTGCGAATGCCCAAGTAGAAGGGAGCATCATCATAGTTCATAGAACAAGGCCGCATGTTCTGATATTTCTTGAAGGCAGAGACTGGGTCTCTGGGGTCATTAGGATCTCCACTTGTAGCAAACATCTTTGGTGGGACCGTTCTGATATTGCGTGGAGTTTCGCCTGTTCTCGTTTTGGTTTGTCGTTCTTTAAATTCAATGTATTCTTTGCCATTGGAAGTTTTCAACCTGAGGTCCCCCCACTGTATATTTCGACTTTCACGCCCTGGTCGAATTCCGAAATGTACACAATTATTCCACCAAACAAGATTTGATAGTGATTCTGGATTGTCCAATGAAAAGGCCATCGATTCGAATAGTTTTTCAACTTCTTCCTCAGTAAGCGATCGTGATCGATTAGGTCGATTCCCTTTCCCAATACATTTTAACTGTTTCTGTTTTGATTTTAAAGTGTCTCTTGTTTTCTTGAATTGTGCATCTTCCAAAATATTATGTGGGTAGCCAGATTCTTGAAGATACCTCGATATGCTTGCAAATAGACTTCTAAGGCTAGTTGGTTCATACTCATTACCATCTTTCTTGGTCACATTCGTGAAAAAGATACTTAGTAATGTATTCAGTGCATCTGGTTCAATGTCTTTTATGTCTCTGTTTTCTCCTCTCACTTTCAAAAAATTTTCCAAGATTTTTATATCATAACGAGTCTTTTTGACAGTGTTTTTGTTCCTCTGTGCATTTATCAGATCGTCTGGGTCTTTATCTCCGATTTGTAAATGTCCACTTATCAAAGATTGTGAGTGTTCATCATTTGAATCATCAGAATCGTCCGAAATTAAATGATTTAGCTCAAATCTGCCAAACGATTCGGCCATGTTGACATTTAGCCTCGTTTTGAGACTGAAGTAGCAAAAATCCATTAACCATCGCATACGACGTCGTATGTCATGGCTAAAAAATCGTATGCTATGGTTAAGAGAAAAGTTGTCAAAAATATCATATTTTACCACTGATTACAAAAATACCGTTTTTATTTTGACATGTTATGCTATGAATATCATGCTAACTATGGAATAAATTGGGATATGCCATAGAGGTTTTAGTCTATATCATATATCTTTCATGGAAAGTATATACTAGAACTCAATGTAGATTTAACTTTGTATTAAATCTGAACATGTAGTGAAAATCATCCTACCATTTCCCAATGGTACACACTTTGAAAGGTGAATACATTCATCATTTTTTCTGCATGGTAGTCCTATTGCTACCATAGGTTTGCATTTACCCATGTCACACCATTGTCTCTGCCAACATTCATTGGTGAATCTGCATGAGTTTGGCCTCCTTTTGTCTCCTTCATGTCCTTTCACACCTATTTATTCAGAAAATGACCACCTGTTTGTTATCAAAGAAGCTAAGTGTGCCCTGACTTATATAGAATGTGAGAAATAAGGATATTTAAAACTGAATTTCCCATGAAAATGTTAACCTGCCGAATCATATTGAACATTTTTGATGAATGATCTTTTAATGGACCTTTTGATTTTTCATTTGTTATAAATGTACAATACACTTTGTGTGATGTTTATTCACTATTAATTTAAAGACCCAATTGCATTCCTTTCGTATTTAGATCACTGCATTTGAGAAAAGGATTCATATGCAACAAAATTATTAGCAAAACTCCAGAAGTAATATGATGATTCATGTAAAGTATAATATGAGGTTATATAATGGTTCTCTCTGTATATCATGTTTATACTCGAGTGAATATATGATATATTCACAAGTGAGCGTAGCGAACGAGTGAATATATTATATTCTCACGAGAGTATAAAATGCACGATATACAGAATGAACCATTATATAATCTTATTATGCCACTCTAAGTTCAATTACAGTTGATTCGAACACAATCATAACAATTAAAAACCATAAAAATATCCCATAGCCAACTCATTAATGCTGATGTTGATCTCGAACCATTTATGACGTGGCTTGATTCTAGCAAATCATGCCGGAACCATTTATGACGTCACTTGATTCTAGGAAATCATGAACATTTTCATGATTTTTTTATTCATTAGTTCCCAGAATGCACTTCTACAGTGGTATACGCTGGAGTGTATACGGAGGAGTTGTATACGATGACGATATACCACTCTCCACTGTATATCGTTGTTATAGACCCATGTTATACAACTGTAATTGGACTTAGAGTGGTATAAATAAATAAACATGTAATTTAAAAGAATTATGTTGGTACTTTTGAGCCACCACGAATAATTGTTTTTTCATTTTACAAATTTAAAGTGACAAATCAAGTTTTGAGTGTGATAGAAGGTTTTACTTACCTGTTGTTGCTATGACAATCAAGCAGATTATGACAATTTTCATGTTGAAGCCGATTTTATGCTTCTCAGTTATTATACTAATTGAGTTAGAAAAAGCTTCTTCATTTACTGCAGTGATCAACAGTTAATAAGTAATAAAATACAGAAGTTGATTAATGTAGTCACGGCCTTGTCATTTTTTTAACTTAACTGTAAATGTTTGTTCAGATATATGCATTATTTATATTTTTACTTTAATACAAATTAATTAAAGTGGTATATTCATAATTATAAATACTTAGAGGTTATGTCACTATCGTTGCATATATGCCCGAGATTTTCAGTGATATATGGCCCGACCTTGGGAGGGACATTGATCACTGAGAACCGAGGGCATATATGCAACGATAGTGACATACCGTAAACGATTTATAACATACTTATGGTGATGCCGACTGGTCAGAGAGTACTGTTTTATCTAATTGGTTAGCAATGGTTCGGAAATAATGATTTATTCCCACATGTTTGTATCTTCTTACGAATGTACGAGTCAAGAGGAGGGAAAACTCCATGATTCAATTGATGACATACGATTTCCTGCTTCGCGCACCTCCTTTCCCGGAAGTGCGTATACCCTCCATCTTGGTTTTCAAGGCACTTAGAACAGAGCCGGGGCACTGATCTCTAAATATAACCCAGCTGAAGCATTGACTTTGTTCACAGTTTATAGAAGGCATGAATGCAATCATGTTCGAATATCAGTTATCACACATTTCAGCATGTGGTACAGGAAATATTCCACGAAAGGTAATATTGTATCATCCACGAAAGCGAAGCTTGAGTGGTGATACATTGTTACCCGAGTGGAATATTTCCTGTATCACATAAGCTGAAACGTGTGATGACGATTTTATATCACATGTCTAGGAATTTTGAAGCATTTTGATTTGGTCAGTTATGATTGTGTGGAAATCGTATGTCATCAATTGAATCATGGAGTTTTCCATGGCGCAACTGATGGTTGATTTCAACCGTAATGCTCTGCGTAGAGAACGCGTACATAGAGATCGTACAGATCCTCTTCAAATAAACGATAATGTGGACCTTATTTTGCGATGTCACATGCCTAGGGTTAACTATTATAAAAGTTTACGAAATGATACAAGAGGTTCTCGAAAGGATAACTAACACGTGTACAAGCACGTCCACGTGGTAATCAGTGCGACTGGTCGCATGGACATCGCAGACTGCGATTTGTTAATGAATAGGTCGCAGTCGCAGTCACTGCGACCTCGCACGGTGGTCGCAGTGTCTGCGACGTCGCAGTGTGATTGCGATAGCTTGATGAATGACCCCTCTGGTAACTATTATAATTTTTGATTTCGCTTTGAAACAATATGACGTCATACCGTTGTATTCGTACTTGTCTGTGAAATAGTATGACGTCATATTGTTTTCCTTAGCTAGGAAGAAGAGGAGGGAAAACCCCATGATTCAATTGATGACATACGATTTCCTCCTTCGCGCACCTCCTTTCCCGGAAGTACGTACGTTTTTTACCCTCCATCTTGGTTTTCAAAGTTTTCAAATTGACCTAGTTTTAAACCAATCAACGATCGACCCGCTAAACCAATCAGCGACGATGTCATCTCAATACAGATTTACATTATAAGCGTATGTCATCTTTGAACCCTGGGGTTTCTCCCCCTCTTGCTAGGTAGTGATATGACCAGTGACATCACATCATTGCTATTGACTCCGTAGTGATACAGTCCATCGTATCACATGAAAATTAGTCACGTGTCACGTGATACGGAATATACATCATCACAATAGACAAATCAAAATGCTTAGACACTCCTATCCATGTGATAAATATCAGTACAGTATAGTAATATGCAAGCATTCATAGTGCTTGTTGGTAATTGGTTGTGGTTCCATTTGCTTTTATTTGCTTTTCTGTTTGTGAAATTTTAAAATAAATGTTCGGTGAATCTTAGTTGACTTAATTAAAAGACAAACATATATGGGAACATGGTATCTAGAGCCATTTTAGTCAGGAAGGAATATGGGGTATTTTAAGGATCAATTGTTTTCTTCAGATTGCAATGTTTTTTTAAAAATGTTCAGCATGGATATAGGGTTTGGACCTCAAAACCAAGGAATGCCAGAGCGGCACCCTTGGGTAACTCTCTACAGAGCATTCCTCATACCTAATAAAATCGACAGGGGGTACTATAAGACGCCTTTATATCACAGACACTAATAATGGTATTGACTTGAAATTTTTGGGAAGTATTTTCGGTATGATATTTGATCTGTATGACAAAAATTAAGAAAAAATGTATACGTTGCTATAGCAACAGTAATAGAACACTATTTCTTACCTTAGAAATGCATTATTTTGTGTGGTTTTATAACTGTCTTCATATTATTGATTCTTAAATTATCTGAAGCACATAGCATGATTAGAAGTGAAGATAAAATAATTCATCGTATCATTTATGTTATATGTCTATAATTCCAGTTGCTATGGCAACATCACTTGATAACAGGTTCTTACATTTCACTTTCTTTAATAAGTACATGTATAAAGGTGATCAAAAGGTTCAACAATGTTATAGGGCTTAAGTCAAATTGTTTTTCAAAAAACCTCTCCCATTGAAATAACACAGGAGGCGAAAATTATTTTCAAAAATGACTTTGAAGCGCTGTAACTTTAGTATTCATCAAATAAACTAAACACTTAGTGTTCAAAAAAGTTAGACAATTCAATTTTCTATATAAAATTTTTTGCCGAATCTTTCACTGAAAATATATTTCCCATTGGATTACATGGGAGTGACGATTTTCAAAAATTTATCATTTTGTGAGACTTGGTAATTTGAATCATCGTGTACGATGGCTTAAGAATTAGATATCTTTTTGAAAATAAGACTTGTAACATTCTTAAATACATTAGAGAGGCATAATGTAAGAAGACGTCAGCTGATTTATATGTTTGTTCAGATATATGCATTATTTATATATTTTACTTTAATACAAATTATTAAAATGGTATATTCAAAGTATAAATATAATGAAATCTAATGTTATCATACAGTAGAGAGGTTGGCATAGTCTAGACATTGGCATAATGTCCAAGTATTACAACCATTGCTTTTTTTCATCTGAACAATCAGACTATGATGGTTATCATGGCATATAATAGGACTCCTACAATATTTGCACTTGTACTCATAAAACAACAATTTTTTCAATTTCTCAAAACTTTATTAATTTGTTTTGTTGAACAAAGTAGGTAAAGCCCAGAGATGAATTCCCAACCTTTTGTAAAGTGACAAACTTTTAAGTCTTGGTATCTTATTATTATGTCATGGAATCCATTATAGGTACAATGATGATTAAAAAATACCTATTTTACAAAAGGTAAGTACACCTGAGGATAGTTTAATACATGTATGTCCATTGTATAATGTTGCTGTATAGCAAAAGATGAGTCTAGGGAAGGCAAGTGTACTGTTCTATTGTCCCGCAGATAAGATACATTGTCTGTTAGACCCACAGTCTGCCTTTAAGCTGACACAAGTGCTCATTATTGCCACTAGCCTTGCTGAAAATTCCCCCTTCCTTGCTTTCTTTGTGTATGATCCGTTGAAGATTTGGGGAGACAAACCATTCACTTTGCCAATCGGTTTTTGTTTTTTGTTTATCCTGACAAAAATGTAATAAAAATGTGTACTTCAGGGTTTTAAAAAAACGCAACCCAAAGAAATCGCTATATCTTGGAAAATACTAATTCAATTGTGTTCATTTTCAGGAAAGAAAGAAAATACCGTGTTTGTATAGCTCATGTTGTTAGTTGGATAAAAAAACCTGATGCCTTGGACACCTGCTCAAAAGACATTAGTATTAGAAGTAATAAAACAGCAATAAAACCTAATAATTTTCTAACCATTGTGTTTTGGCACTTCAGATTTAGCACAAATTATCCTCATTTAATGTATGGTGAATTTATGGAGTTTCATTAAAATCACTCCAGGAACTTTACAGTCATGGTCAAAATGCCTTCTTAAGTCTGCCTGAACCAGGGCGTTTGATTGCGTTTTGTAAGCATTTCGACCATGACTGTAAAGTCCCAGCAGTGATTTTGATTTCACTCTACAGATTTACCATACATTGAATGAAAATTCTTTGTGCCAAACTTGAAGAGCCAAAACACTATGGTTAGGAAGTTATTTAGTTTTTTTGCGGTTGCAGTCACAGGTGACTGCGTTTTTCGTATTTTTCTAGTACAAATGTCTTTTGAGCAGGTGTCCAAGGCATTATGTTTTACAACTAACTAACTAACTAACTAACTAACTAACTAACTACAGGAGCTAACATACACAGTCTTTTCTTTCTTTCCCGAAAAAATGAACACAATTGAATAAGTATTTCGCAAGATATGGCGATTTCTTTAGGTTGCGTTTTAACACCCTGTATTACATTAAAGTAGTAATTAATCGATAACTGGTTTTCAGAATGCCTATTGAAGGTAGATCTGCATGATAAAAATTACTTTCATCTCTGATCTCTAGATTGTATTAGCCAATTAATTATTACATACCATATTAATTATTACATACCATATCTTAGCTCTAACATTCATATGCCCATACTCTCCTCTTCGCAAGAAGATACAATTGTAGATGACCTTCACAGTTGAATTTGGTCTGATAGTATCAGGTTTCTTAGGGTTTGGTCCATAACAGTTCAGACTGCATTGGACCACTTCCTCGGCCTCTGTGAGATAAAATAAAAATGTGTAGTATTAAAGGAGAACTGAAGAACTGCATCATCAAGAAAGGATTATCTATACAGATGTAGATAAATAAGGGTTATGAACTGGGAGGTTTTGGATATGGGGTTTATCCAGAGGGAGATGTGCATATCCCACGAGGGATGAACCCAATATCCAAACCGACCGTACATAACTGCTTTATCCTATACCAAGTAGAGTTTTCAGTGAAATTACCGGAAGCGGGAAGATATGCACCGAAGCGGGAAGATATGCACTGAAGCGGGAGATATGGCTGGAGATATGGAGGTTCTGGATATGGAAACCTCAAAATCAGGATACGGGATATATCTTACCAACTTATCTCCCTAAAACTCAACTTGGCATAGGATAAATACTTTTATTGGTGCTCAGCACATAATGTCACTAAAGAGACCAAATTAATAGTTTTTCAATGGAAATTTTTACACAATAGTGTGATAACAAATGATAAACTTTTTAAAATGAAAATCAAGGAAATGCCAAATTGAAATTTTTGTAATAAAAATAAAGATGATTTAACACATAGATTTAAAACATGCAATTTTTTACTCCCAATATTGGACTTTATAAGAAACAATTGTGAAATAAGTTTAAATGAACAAACCATCTTTAAAGGTATTTTTGGTAAGGAAAAAAGTACCTCAATCAACTTACAATTGTTGCTAAGTGGACAATCCACAAGCAAAAATTGGAATTGTACCAAAGATTTTACATAATTTTAAAATAGAATTTGATGAAAGAAACATTGCATTGTAATTGTAGAATCTTGAAATGATATGAAAATAAATTTAAAATATAAAAAAAGAAAGGATCATCTATGTTGAATTTCCTTCTGTTCTCGCTGCAGTAGTTTTTTAAAGAAGGAAGTTATTGTTGAGGGCTCTGTGAGCCTTGGATTCAAAGGAATTATTTTCTGTCATACATGTACTTATCTTAGTAAAATATACATAAAATACATTTACTTTTACATTTCCCATTTCTGCAGAACATTTTACCAAGACATTCTGGACTTCTTCCACAGCGGTACCCAAATTCATGTTTCATTCCACACTTTCCTTTTAGTATACCACCAAGTCCTCCCGTAGTGCAGTATTTATATCTGCCATTCTCATATTGTAAGCAATCATTGTCAGTCCTACAAGTTTCCTCACAAATGCCTACAATCAAGCCCAATAGTAAAATATCTTTCTATGACATTTATTGTTCTCTCTTCATATAATAAGAGGTACACACGAATTTGTTGATTGAACATTCATGCAGGCATTGCTTATTTCTCATTCATTATGAAGGAAGTGTGTATAAGGTGGCATATTGTTGTGGCCACTATTTACCAGAATTTGGCATCAACATACAATTATATCTTTGTAAAATTTTAAAATTTCCCAGGTTGTGGCCTTAATGTAAACGCCATTTTGATGTCACCACCCAAAGTGGTGAGATATTGTAACTGTCTCCAATTTTCTTGTAGATGATGTTCGGCAATCGGGGGTTTATGTCTGTAAACAATGGCAGGTGGTGACATTTTGCATGTTAATGCATTGTTTTAAATATGGTTGAGTAGGCCTTGTTTTCATAGTAATAAAGATGTCATTGGGTAATTAAAAATAATATTATTAGTCTTACCATTTACACACTTTGACTGCTCCAAGCATTGAACATTCCTTGTACAGTTTTCTCCAGGTTTAACCATAGGAACACACATTCCATTGTCACACCAGTATCTGTGCTTGCATTCATTACTAAATATGCATCTCCTTAATGGCCTACTTCTCAGAATTTGGCATTTCTCTGTAAATTGTAACAATTTTGTCATGATCACAATGTATTGTGATGTTGTAACTATGATTGAAAAGCTTTTGCTTACAGTATATAGAGATATTACAAGTACATGACATGTATATATACAGGTTGTTTAAAAACATCCATTTTTTATTCAATTTAGCTTTTTGAAAACACATGGCTTTCAATAAAGTTTAGGCATGATATGCAAGAATCAGTTCCACAGTTGTTCCTAAAATGAGATAGATCAGTCTTCTCCTCCAAGGGTTAGAAATAATCTCGATTTACGTCATTAAATATTCAACATCCAGTCAAACTGATGTCATGATTGAAATCTACATGTAAAAGTACACAGATCTAGAAATATGGTTTCGAAAATTGTTTATCAAGTTTGAAAATTTAATTTCTTTGAAAATGTGACTTCTAGTTCTGGTTGATTCCCCATACACCCTGTGTTACAAAATCACAAAAAGTGAAATATCGTTTCTTGTAATGAACAGATAACATTTTATTTTACTGTACACATTTTAATTTGCATAACTATTAGTTACATAAGGGTCATATCAAAATTAAACCACTAAAACAGATATAAGATAAGTTAAATGGATCTTTCTACTATTCATTTATTTATTATACCCGCCATGCTATCTGACCGGAACGAGCCATCTGGTGGTGAAACTAGTAACTACCTACTCGCATCAGCTTTATTAAAAACATATGGATTCAAGATTATATTCAAAGCATCAATTTTATGATTTTAATCTGGTACTTAAATGTGTAACATGACTTATAACAGTGTAACATTATTGCTTCGAATAGCATCCTGAATTTTCAAATAAACCTCCAGAGTTGGTTTATCGTTATTATTCAAGGGCCCTTATGATGTATTTATCCTATTTCAGGAACAACTGTAAATAGTGTTTTCTACATATCTGCATTCCCTGTTTAAATATTATCTTAATCCATGCATTTGAAAAAATAATATCAAAATAAAAATATGGATTTTTGCTCCATCCTGTATGTAATTAGTTCTCTTACTGTCTACGCATTTTAACTTGTCCATGCATTGAGCATTCTTTTTACACTTTCCTCCAATATTAACCATAGGAGTACATCTTCTTTTGTTGCACCAGTATTTGTCTTTGCATTCATTGTTCGATTTACAGGTTTTTGGTGCAGCTGAGACCTCCAAGGCTGCAAGGAAAAATGGAGAGATAAAGAGAAATCTATTCGTGTAGGCCTATATCTCATGTACCTTTATCACATTTGGCTTAGTATTTTTGATTGAACTGTTAACATATACTTACTTGCACTTTCAGATAATTTAAAAGCTTAAACTATGAATACTAAAACAATGTTTGGTATATCTTTATGTCCCTGGTGAACAATAAGTCGGAATTTACAATTGATGTATAACATTGCTCTAGCTGTCAACTTCCAAATTGTTAACTTACTTAAAGGTGGTCACTTGTTAAGATTCCAATCGATTCCAATTGAATTAAGATTAGATGAAAATCTAAAACATTTTGTCTTGTGTCCAACATCCCTAAATACTCAAATGTTTATACTATTTTTAAATATTAAATCGCATTTCTGCTGATTTCAATTTTGACTCATTTTGAAGGGTCATTTAAAGCACTTAATTACCACACTATCCTATGTTTGTCATGACACCTAAATATTTTCAAAAGTATATTTTGACACTTAAGATAATTATGTGGGGTTATTTACACCTTATTGCAACCAGTCCTTTGATGCTGGATTCTTCAAAACCACTTCACAATTTTGATGTCTAGTTTTTTTATTATATATTGAGTCATAATGAATTGTCTGTCTTAATGTTACATACCTGTTGCTGCTGCTGATGCTGCTTTTACAAACATTAGCACGATCAAAACAATCCACTTTCTAAACAACTTCATTTTTATATCATTATTTGCAAGATTACAATATTACATTTAGATGTTACAGCTCTGAACTTAAAATTATTCTCTGGAGAGTCAAATAAAAAAACATGATGTGTTCGTGATTAATATTGATAATTATAATGTCAACTATGATGCTACACCCACTCAACTTTCATTTCTAATATATGAGGGTAGATGGTAATACTGCATTTCAATCCCAGCCAGTGATTTTCTTGTTCTTGGTTTATTTCAAACTCAAATATGATACAACATCAATTCATATTGAAATACATTTGGATTATAAATATATATAAAAACTGACTCTAATCGGGATCAGGTCTTTTTGCAGATAAACATTCTAAAGTGGTCAAGTCCCCATAAAATACATTCCATAGTTTTGTTAACTTAAATTGTAACAAGGTATCTAAATATATGGTGGTTTAGGAGGGGTGCTTATTAGACATTGTTAATATGTTAAATCATAGTTTGGAATAGTTGGGGTTTGTTTTCTGTATAACGGGTTCAGAACTGTACGAATCATATGACATTTTAAAGTGGTTCTTTAACAACCTCTATGCCCAGGTCTTTGTTGGTTTTGTGGACTTGGATTTTAAAATGGTACCTTAATGATGTGGTGATATGGGAGGGGTTATTTAGACATTGTGAAAGCCCCCGTGTTAAATTTAAACCACTAAAGTTATATTGTATTTCTTACCCAATTTCATCAAAGTGTGAAACTGTTTTTTAAATTTCACAAATTGGTCTTTGAAGGACTTTTTGTTGGAATCGTGAAATTATTTAAAACTAGCTTTTAGAGGTCACATTTTTCTTTTAATAAGCGATAATTCATACCAATGCAAAGCATTCATCCTCACAGTTTTTTGCCTAAAAATAAGAAAATCAGATCATAAATATGCGAGAAATTAGCTCATCGATGCATGAAAATGATTCAGAGAAAAACGAAATTTAAAATTTTAGTTCTCATAGAAACCAATGGTGCGATAATATCTAAAACATTATATATTCTTCCTTTTAACCTGGTTAGACAATCAACATTGGTTTATTTTTGAAGTTTAGAACATTTAGAAAAGATTGAAAAAAACGAATTTTTAAAAATGTTTTTGCCACCTGAGTGACATCACTTAGGTTGCAAAATATTTTTGATATGCTAAAACATTGAAGTGACACATTAGATATGGGATTTTATTATTGAAATAGTGTGTCCTTTGTTCAATCTTTGCATTGGTGTCAAAAAGATAATCTTTTTTAAAATGTATGTTGGAAAATTTGATGGTTAAAAAATTTCAACTTTTCTTGAAAAATAGTGGGAAATTTGAATGTTTGAGAAATTAAAAGCTGACTACTTTTTTCCAAATTCTTTTTACAAAAATCTCTAAAATAACAACTACCATTATGAAAAAAAAGTATATACGGTAAATGATAAAAACATATATATTTTCAATCTTTACACAGAGACTTCAACATGTTAGTCTTGTATATTTGAGATTTGTTTTCTTAATTACTGGTTGTACTCTTAGATGTTTCATTTTCCCGCATACAACTACATATTTATACATATACAGACACATACATATTTGGTATATTTTGTGATATAAGATAAAACTGTTTACGTTATGTTTCATGACCTTGACATCTATTTGTATATTGCCCATGTTGTTTGACTTGTGATTTGTTGTATCTTTATTTATTTGAATTATCAAAAAAACACAAACCTCATTGTAATCTTTTTTAATTATAAACATGGAATAAATAGGAGAGTTTGATCAAGACAGGATGTCATTGGTGCATGCACATTAACCAGGTCTTTTGTTGAACGTGTATTTGACAAAGGTGACGATCGTGATTGTGTTTATTGTTGGGTATATTGTGATTGCAATGTTTTTCACATATTTTGTTTTAATGAATGACAATAGAACATAGTAATGTCAAAGTCGTGAAGTCGATTGATATGATCATCAACCAATGTTTTATTGCTGACATTTACAGCAGCAAGTTGAGCTCTGGTTCATGCTTAAGTGATTGGCATAAACATCAAAAAGTTGAATATATTATGTATGGTGCTGAAAATGGTACTGAAAATCATTTTATGATAACGGATGATACTAAAATGATTTAATGATGGTTGATGAAAGAGGTTTAATTTGACACTATTTCTCTGTTGATCTGATCATTGGTTGGTACATTTGGCTTCATTTTCTTGCGACGTTTGATGTTTATTGAGTTATAAATAGTCCTGTTGTGATATTGGTTTGTGGCATGGTGTTGAATGTTATTTGCTTTGTTGGCATTTCTATTTTAATGTGTCTTTCATGTAAAATACCAAAATAAATGTACATGAATTGATTTATGTAAGGAATAGTTAACAACTGATACTGTTTATATCCAAGGTACTACTTTCATTAATTCTCATTTAAGGTTTAGAAATGGGTTGTATTGTGATGCCTCCTGGTCTCGTGTAATGGTCTACATATAACTGATTTGAACTTATAAATGCATACTTTAACTTCCATATTTCTACTATGTTCTGAGTATAGGTTTTCACATTTAGCATTCTGTATTTCTTTGCGCGTTTACGAGAAGTCTGTGTTAAAATGTAGGCACAGTAATCACAATACGATTTCGTCGGGACTTCTTGGTTGTTCCAGAACTCCACGTCTATGTTTTTAAACTTATGGGGACTATATTAGCGAGATCAATAGTGCAAGAAAACAGGCAAATAGTTCCTTCATGGAACGAAGCATGAAACTTTCCACATATCATCAGAATACCATTCCCTTTGATTTAAGAGCCAGAGCCATTTTTGTGGTCCACTAGAATGATCAAAAAATAGTAAGTACCCCCTCCCACCAAATCACATGGGGGTGGGGAGATATAGGAATATTTTTTTCATAAAGAAATGTCTTTGAATATGGTCATACTACAGTTTTAGTGTGCTATTTTCATGGTAAAGAAATTTTGCAAACATAACAAGATGATTTATCATTGATTTCCATCATTGTTAAAGACTAATCATGGGCGACGCCCACTTTTCATACCTTGAACATTTAGATTATTAAATCTCATCATGGGTTGAACAAATGAATGTAATTCAGTTTTCTGGATAACACCAGATACCTTTTTGGTGTTAGGTGCTATAATTAATCTTAGCATTTGACTTTTTAAAGGCTTACACCATAGCACAACCCTGTTTAGAAGAAGAAAGCAAGCAACAAATGTCCCAGATCTACAACATGTATCCACTATTCTATGTACATGTATGTCGAGTCTCTATTTTCTCCTGAAGAGAACCTATGCTACAGATACAACTTTCCAGAATTTAGATGATGATGTGCTTAAACAGTTTGATGAATGGTGTGCTGACCCAGTGCCTAAACAGTTTGATGAATGGTGTGCTGACCAAGTGCTTAAACAGATTGATGAATGGTGTGCTGACCAACAGAATGTACCAGTCTTCAAGCTTTGGTTTCTGATTATTTAAATTGAAATACTGTGCCTTGACTATGTGAGGGCTAATAGGACAGGAGAATTTTCCTCTTTATTTCCAGATGGTTTCTCTTTGATTTTCATAGTTGTTAAAGACTAGTCATGGGCGACGCCCACTTTTCATATGCTGGACATTTAGGCTATTAAACCTCTTTCATGGGTTGAACCAGACCGCCACAGTCACAGCCTGCAGTCTCTAAATTCTCAAGAGAGCATATACTACATATACAGCTGTCCAGAATCTAGATAATGAAGTAATAAACAGTTTGATGAAAGGTGTGCTGACCAACAGAATGTACCAGTCTTTAAGTTTTGGTTTCAGATTATTTGAATCGAAATACTGTGCCTTAACTAAGTGTGGGCTATCAGAGAGGGAAATTTCCCTCTTTATCTCCAGTCAATAAGCAATCTTATCACCTGGTTTTTTGTTTTTTGACCTTGTCAATATGCTTGCTGAGTACCAGTTCAGTATATCATCAGAACTCAAAGTTCAAAAATGGATAGCTTTTGGAAAAGTAAAAAATTAGAGATATCTCACTTCTCATGAAATTGCAGCTGCCCTTTGACATGGTTGGACTATGTGTCTCCCCTTATTTCATGCCCCAACAGGTTCAGACACTATATCTGGATTCCAATCATTGAACGTTTTTTGTGATTTTATACAATAGAGACAACAATGAAATAACTGTAAATGCTGCAAGACAAGAAATGTTCACAAAGAAAACAGCTCAAATTGAGAACATCCCACCATAAGTTGCATAAGTTGGTTCCAGACAATTATACCTATGTCAGTCCTCGCTTCACCCTCACAATTGAGTTGGAAATCCATTACCACAAAGGCTGGGAAAATAATTTGGTTGCCAGTATGGAAAACATTGCCCAAGCTTCAGATGCATGCCAAATGCTAGTAAAATGCAGCTGCAAACAACAGTGCTCAACAAAAAGATGCAAGTGCTTTTTTGTCATTCTAGTGAACCACAAAAATGGCTCTGGCTCTTAAATCAAAGGGAATGGTGTCCTGATGATATCTGAAAAATTGCAAATGTGCCCTCCCATCAAATCCTGGGGGGAGGGGGAGGGAAGTATTTTTTTGTTGATTTTTTTAAATATGATTTATATTCATTTTTAGTATGTTATTTTCAGTGTTTAAAAACAATTTTCAAGATTGCATCCGTATTTCTCATGGATATTCATTGTTAAAGCCTGACCAAGGGCTACACCCACTTTATCAACATGTTAATATACAAGTTAATGAGTCTTCTATTATGAATAGGAAAATTACCTAATAAGAATAAAATTGATAAGATAAGTCAGTTATTTATGTTAAGTTGATAAATGCTTTATGTAGGTCAATTGAAAGGCCACACCCCTTTTATATATATAATTCACAATTAATGATACATTATTTTGACTTTTAATGAGAGCACTTTGACTAATTGATACAAGTTACCTTATTAGGTATCTTAACTGCAGTTGTTCAAATATCCTATTTTGTGCATTTAAGCACTTCAACACTCTATTATCATTATCACTGAGCTAGGTGTCATGTCCATTACAATCCCTGCATTTTACTAGTATTTGGCATGCATCTGAAGCTTGGGGCAATGTTTTCTAAACTGGCACCCAAATCATTTTCCCAGCCTTTGCTTGTGTAGTGTCTGATCCTGTGGGAGCATGAAATAAGGGGAGACGCAATTTCATTGGAAGTGTGATATTTCTAATTTTTTACTTTTCCAAAAGCTATCCATTTTTGAACTTTGAGTTCTGATGATATACTGAACTGGTACTCAGCAAGTATATTGACAAGGTCAAAAAACAAAAAACCAGGTGACAAGCTTGCTAATTGACTGGAGATAAAGAGGGAAATTTCCCTCTCTAGTAGCCTACACTTAGTTAAGGCACAGTATTTCGATTCAAATAATCTGAAACCAAAACTTAAAGACTGGTACATTCTGTTGGTCAGCACACCTTTCATCAAACTGTTTATCACTTCATTATCTAGATTCTGGACAGCTGTATATGTAGTATATGCTCTCTTGAGAATTTAGAGACTGCAGGCTGTGACTGTGGCGGTCTGGTTCAACCCATGAAAGAGGTTTAATAGCCTAAATGTCCAGCATATGAAAAGTGGGCGTCGCCCATGACTAGTCTTTAACAACTATGAAAATCAAAGAGAAACCATCTGGAAATAAAGAGGAAAATTCTCCTGTCCTATTAGCCCTCACATAGTCAAGGCACAGTATTTCAATTTAAATAATCAGAAACCAAAGCTTGAAGACTGGTACATTCTGTTGGTCAGCACACCATTCATCAATCTGTTTAGGCACTTGGTCAGCACACCATTCATCAAACTGTTTAAGCACATCATCATCTAAATTCTGGACAGTTGTGTCTGTAGCATAGGTTCTCTTCAGGAGAGTATAGAGACTCGACATACATGTACATAGAATAGTGGATACATGTTGTAGATCTGGGACATTTGTTGCTTGCTTTCTTCTAAACAGGGGTGTGCTATGGTGTAAGCCTTTAAGAAGTCAAATGCAAAGATTAATTATAGCACCTTACATCAAGAAGGTATCTGGTGTCATCCAGAAAACTGAATTACATTTATTTGTTCAACCCATGATAGAGATTTAATAACCTAAATGTTCAAGGTATGAAAAGTGGGCGTCGCCCATGATTAGTCTTTAACAATGATGAAAATTGATGATAAATCATCTTGTTATGTTTGCAAAATTTCTTTACCATGAAAATAGCACTCTAAAACTGTAGTATGACCACATTCAAAGAAATTTTTTATGAAAAAAATATTTCGATATCTCCCCACCCCCATGGGATTTGGTGGGAGGGGGTACTTACTATTTTTTGATCATTCTAGTGGACCACAAAAATGGCTCTGGCTCTTAAATCAAAGGGAATGGTATTCTGATGATATGTGGAAAGTTTCACGCTTCGTTCCATGAATGAACTATTTTTGCACTATTGATCTCGCTATATAAGACTAATTTGGTATTATGGTGTTTTGAGCTTGTCCTTTGGGTCATCTCAGAATTTTGGAATGTCATATGACTCCTACAATCTTTGCACATATACTCTAATAGAACAACAGTTTTTTTCATTTCACAAAACTTTATTTCTTTTGTTGCACAAAGTAGGTGTAAAGTCCAGGAGTGAATTTTCCATACTTTTTGTAAAGTTGAAACGTTTAATTCTTGTTCTCTTACTATTATGTCATGGAACCAATTGTCACAACATTTATTACAGAATACTTCACTTACAAAAGCTAAGTACACATGAGGATATTTTAACTAGCAAAAAATGAGTTATGAAAAGGCAAGTAAACTATTGTCCTACAGCTAGAAGACATTGTCTATTGGCCCCGCAGTTTGACTTTAAGCTGGTACACGTGCTCATTTTTGCCACTAGCCTTGCTGAAAATTCCCCCTTCCTGGCTTTCTTTGTGTATGATCCATTGAAGATTTGGGGAGACAAACCATTCACTTTGCCAATCAGTTTGTGTTTGTTCATCCTAAGAGAGGAGTAATAAAATGCATACCATTACAATAAAGTAGTAATTCATTAATTACTGGTTTTCTAAATGCTATTGAGGTGGATCTGCATCATAATATTTTGTGTTATTTCTGTGAGTATGACTAATATATCAGTAGTGACTTTCATTACTCTTTTATCTCTAGTCTGTATTTGCTCATTTTGGCTTAGTCTACATACCATATCTTAGCTCTAACATCCATATGACCATACTCTCCTCTTCGCAAGAAGATACAATTGTATGTAACATTTACAATAGATCCTGGTCTGATAGCATCAGGTTTCTTGGAGTTTGGCCCAACGCAATTTATACTGCATTGGACCACTTCCTCGGCCTCTGTAAGATAACATAAAAATGTATAGTTTTATATCGAGTCAAGGTTACCAGTCGATTGTAATTCTGGGTGTTTGATTGAGTGGGTCACAACTCGTATAAAAGGCTTTGGTGTGTACTTGTTTGTCTATGTACCCGTGCACAAAAAATGAACACAGGGCTCATCCAAGGAGGGATTTCTGCCTCTGTCTTCGAGTGTAAAAATACGTAAAATTCGGAATATACCAATGAGGTATTGCTCGGCAAATATGGCGGTAACCAAGATACAATACAAAACAATATAAGAAAATTGCATCATCAAGAAAGGATCATCTATGTTTAATTTCCTTTTGCCCCCCCCCCCAACCCCCAACAAAACATTAGTTCTATGAAAGAAGCAACTCATAAAAGAGGTCTCTATGAGCCTTCGATTCAAAGGATTCACTTTCTGCCGTACATGTACTTATCTTAGTATAAAATACATAAAATAAATTTACTTTTACATTTCCCATTTCTGCAGAACATTTTACCAAGACATTCTGGACTTCTTCCACACCTGTACCCAAATTCATGTTTCATTACACACTTTCCTTTCAGTAAAGCAGAAAGTCCTCCTGTAGTGCAGTACTTAATTCTGCCATTCTCATATTGTAAGCAATCATTATCAGTCTTACATGTTTCTTCACAAATGCCTACAATTAAGACCTTCAATAGTAAAGTGTGTATTGTTACTTTTTGTTTTTGTATTAAGGTGTTTTAAGAAGTATACAAAAATTTTCATTCGTTCAATCATTCCTTATTTCTCCATTATGAAGGAATAGAGTTGTATAAGGTGGCATATTGTTGTAGCCATTTTTACCAGAATTCGGCATCAACATTCAATCATCTCTCTGTAAAATGTTATAATTGTCCAGGTTATGACCTTAATGTTGATGCCTTTTTGATATTTCAATGTCACCTTCACAAGTGGTGACACATTGATCAAGTTTCCAAGTTTGTGGACAGTGTTCAACATTCGGCAGTTAGAGGTCAGTATATTTAACGAAATGGTTTTGTTTTCATTAATTATAAAGATATCATGTAGTAATTACAGAGTAATGACAAATATCTTACTCTTACCATCTACACACTTTGACTGCTCCAAGCATTGATCATTCTTCCTACAGCTTTCTCCAACATTTATCATCGGAACACATGTTCCTTCATCACACCAGTATCTGTGCTTGCATTCATTACTGAATATACAGGTCTTTGGTGGCCTACTTGTTAACATTTGGCATTTACCTGTAAATTTTGTCATGTTAATACCTTATTGTGATTTTGTTTTACTATGATTGAAAAGCTTTTGCTTCCATGAATTATAAATATTGTATATTCGGTGTGCGCAATACATCCATTTTATTCCAATTATACAGTCTTCGGAAAGACGTGGCTTACAATAAATTCTGTCAGGATATGCAAGAATCAGTCAATTGTTCCTGAAATGGGAAAAAATAAATCCCCAAGAGTTTGTATGTCACCACCAACAATTGTTATGGTGTCAGTTTTTTTATGATGACGGGTGGTGGTTGGTTTTTGTAACAAATTCTTACAACTTCCAATAACTTAAAAACTGTTTAGACTGAGTTCATGTTTTCAAAATCATCTACAAGTTCTCAGAACTTCAAATTTAACATTAGAATTGATATGTGACATGTCTTGTTCAACTTGTTTCAAATTGACCTATTTTTCTTTTCAAATCATCTACAAATTCACAGATGTTCTAATCTATTGTTTCATTTACTTTTATTATTCCAAAACTCCTAAAGTTTATCCCATTTCAGGAACAAAATGTAAAAGGGATTTCTGTACTTCCAGTATCCCCATGTGGAAATAATTAATAATGTAATTAATTCTCTTACTGTCTACACATTTTGACTTGTCCATACATCGATCATTCTTTGTACATTTTTCTCCAATATTAATCATAGGACTACATGTTCCTTTGTTACACCAGTGATTATCTTTGCATTCATTGTTGAATTTACAGGTTTTTGGTGTTGTTGGAACTTCCAAGGCTTTATGGAAAATACAGAGAGTTACAGCTCTTACATGTATATGCTCAAAATAATACTGAAAGGTTTGATGCTCATATAGGCCTACACCTTATGTTTATGTAACATACCATGAATCTTACTCATTTTGATTGAGCTGATAAATTAACAAACACTTTCAGATACTTTAGGACAAATATGCTCTTCAAAACCTCAAACTTTTTTACCAAAACTGTGGTTTTGTTCACATTTAATGTATAACGCTAGCTCCGACAACCTCTAAATCAGTCAAAAATTCTACACATGGTTAACTTACTGTATCTGCAATATATGATTCTGTCTCTGCAGCCATTTTTGGTCCAGATCATCTTTGCTGCTTTGTCGATTATAGGCCACCTAGGTTTCCCATCTTTTCTCCCTTCATAGATACTGTGATAAGAGTCATCACGGTGTGTACTGAATTCTTTTGCAGCAGGCCAGGGACTTAAGAATTAAACAACTTAAAATGACTTTTTCGGTTTCCTACATAGCCTCACCATGATTGTTAACTATAATGCTTTAAATATACATCGACTCTATTGTATTTGTTTTTGGCATTTCCAAAAAATTGAAGCAAAAATGGAAGTCACGTTTATCACCAAACAGTACAGTAGTGTATCATCGTTTTTTTTATTTTCGAATATTTGAATTTTATGAATTAATCGGAATTCGAAGTAAAGAGGTGGCATATAACTTATTATTCCATAGTTAGCATGATATTCATAGGATAACATGTAAAAATAAAAACGGTATTTTTGTAATCAGTGGTAAAATATGATATTTTTGACAAATTTTCACTTAACCATAACATACGATTTTTTAGCCATGACATACGACGTCGTATGCGATGGTTTATGGATTTTTGCTACTTCAGACTCAAAACGAGGCTAAGTGTCAACATCGCCGGATTGTTTGGAAATTCGAATTAAATAACTTAATTTCAGACGATTCTGATGATGACTTTAACTATGGAATAAAAAGAACATCCTATGATTTACTCGTGATATGATTTTAATCCACTCATGGATATTGATATCTACACTCTCTCGCTACGCTCGCTCGTGCAGATATCATATCCATTCGTGGATAAAAATCATATCACTCATAAATCATAGGATATCCTCTATGAACCCATTAATTTGATTATATCAATTATGTTCCACTTGTTATATTGGAACAGGTAGCCAATTTTGCTTTTTTCATCTTAAAAACATAACTTTTAAAAGAGACCCGTCTATCTGCCAATTAAGCACAAGATGAAAAAATTGAGTACATTACCTGTCATTGAAACCAGGCTGGTTCCATGATGATTCAACAGATCTAGAGAGACATTTCCAGTTACTATCAGTGTTAAGAAGAAAATCACCATAACGAAATGAGAGAATGAGTCCCGATGTTACGCAGATAGTGTCCCACGCTGTATAGAAATAATTAAATACTAAATGTACAACAGTCCAAAATATGGTATTTAATCTTTTTGGCATTTCATCATTTGTCTTGAATGATTGAATATTTTTGTTGTTGATATATATACAGGCTGTTATTGCCAACATTGATGTTTTTAACATGTTTTCAAAATTGTCATGTTTTACATTTGGGATATGGTTGTATTGTGAATTTTTGTTTTACCCTCAACAAGCTGCTTAACCCTTGAACATGATCATGACATTTAAACATGATCAAGCTTTGTCAGCTGGTTCAACAACCGTTCAAGGTCTTGATAATCAGATTGGTGTAAGTTGGTACCATGCATACCTTTTACGGCAATCACTTGTACATTCTCTGGGTTAGCAATTGAGAAACGTTGTGGCTCACAACATATGTTACTGTCACCTCTTTCACAACATATTTTACTGGAACCTACTTTAGTACCATCGACAAACAAATCGAAACCATCATCAGCAATAATATCAATAGTACCTAAAGTGTGGAAATAAATATGATGCAAACAAGAGCTTAGAGTACTCGTTAGGATTTCAATATATTTCAATTTACAATCTTAAACTTTCTGTTTTGTATTACACATCCCTAAATATCCAAATGTAATACTATTTTTAGATTTAAGATCTCATTTCTACTGAAAAGAAAAAAATTGACTCATTTTGTAGGGGTATTGTACTTCTCACCTATTATATAACTATGTTTGTCTGATGTCCGTCCTCACACTTAAATTTTTTCTAAAGTATTATGTGACATTGAATTCTCAATTTTACACCTAAAATTATTCCCTCTGACTATCGGGTTATATATGCCCCTCATTGCAACCAGTCCTTTACTGCTGTGTGGATCTGGATTCTAAAGAATCGCTCATGATTTTAATGTCTAGTTATTAAATATGCATTAGCTTATGCTACATACCTGTTGCTGCTGCTGCTGATGCTATTTCAAGCATTAGTACAAGCAAAACGATCCACTTTCTGTTCAACTTCATCATATCCCAGTATTGACAAGACTACAATTTAGATGTTACAACTCTGACCTCTTATTTATACTCTGTAGAGCGAAACAAAAAAATCATGATGTGGTCGTGTTTAATATTGATGCAGCTATAATGTCAACTATGATGCTACACCCACTGTACTCTTATTCCTAATGAATGAGGGTAGATGATAATACTGCATCTCAATTCCATCGAGCAGTGCTTCCCTTGTTCTTGGTTCAAAAAACACAAATATCTAAGATTTTATTTGCATCTCGGATATGATACAAGATCAAATTCACATTTAATCCATTTTGATAATAATTAGGCCTATATCTTTGTATCAACTGATTCTAATCGGGATCAGGACTATGAAGAATATGACATTCTGAAGTGGTTCTGTGAAAACCTCTATGCCCAAATCTTTGTTGGTTTTGTGGACTTAAATTTGATAATGGTTTGGTGATGTAGGAGGAGTTATTTAGACATCATTAACATGTAAGTCTTGTTTATTTGAGATTTGTTTATTTCAAAACTGGTTGTACTCTTAGATGTTTCATTTTCTTGATCTTGCGTACATATTTAAGGAATAAATACCGAGCTTTTATGATTTATGGCGTAATATATGACCGAAAATGTTATTCTGTTCATTGTTAAAAGACTGAAATCGCGTAGCGATTAAGGTCTTTGACAATGGTCAGAACAAAATTTGAGGACGCTACGATTCTTATATGATAAACAGACAAGAAACACAACCATTTGCATTCATAAAATAAAGCGGTCATATATACTCCAATATAGACCAATTGTTCTCGATATTGTGACGTCACGTATCATATTAGAATTCTCAGTATGCACTTGTGATATAAAATATAAACTGCTTTAATAAGTCAAATCATTATCATGTTGATGTTTCATTTTTGTTTGTTTGAATTATTATTTATTTTAATTATCTTTCAAAACGTAAACCTCATTGTAACTTTTAATAGTTACCTGAATAAATAGAAGAATATGTTCAAGGTAGGATATCATTGATGCATGCACATTTATCAGTTTTGTGGTTGGACATCTCTCTGACAAAGGTAGTGATCATGATTGTGGTTATTGTCGTGTTTGTTGTGGTTGCAATTGTTTTCCACAATATATTTTTATTTTGTGAATTACAATAGAACTTAGTCAAACTTGTGAAGTTGATTGTCACCATCATCATTTTTTATCATCCAATGTCTTGTTGTTCATATTTACGATGGCAAGTTGAGGTCTGGCCCATACTTATGTTAAAATAAAATTCATTGAAGATTTCTATGAAGCAGATTTGGGGTACCATTAGCATGTGATACAAATCCTGAATATCAGAACTGCGCAATGAGACATTTATAGGATTTATGCCAGCTATCAGGTAATAGCATCTTTCAATCAGTTTTGGTTTTAATTTGAATATATACTTGAAGGTCAATTTAATCCATTTGCACAAGATCAAAAAATGTTGATAACCCTAGATTTGAAGATTTGTAAATGAGATATACCCTGACGAGTTAAACTTGAAAACGATCAATGAATCGAGCATAAATGCGTCTTATCTTGAACGCCTCATTAACACGGCACAAGACAACAGCATATATTGTCAGTTGGATGATAAACGAGGTGATTCCAATTTTAATGTTGTGAATTGTCCCCATTAAGTAATACTCCATTTAACCGAACATATGGGGTCTGTGTATCCCATGGCCAAGCTTATTAGTTATGGCAGGACTGTGAGATTAAGGTGTGGTTATTCTTGTAAAAAAGTTAAGGAATACTTTCTGGGTTCTGCTGAAAATTATGGGTAATTAATTTTGAAGTTTCAAGTTTTATCACTTGAGATGTTGAAGTATGTGTAAAAATTGTTTAAGAAATTGGAACTGATCTCACCACTTTTTCACTTGGCACCGTTTGAGGCGGATCTTGTATAAGTACTTGTATCTACAACTAATTTCGATGTTATGAGTACTTGCTATATTTTCTGCTACATATCTTGTAATAACTTCAGTATGAATGAAATTTCCCTTGTTGTTCTGGTCTTTACGAAGCTTTAAAAGGGACATATTTTTCAAATTAAAAAAAAATCAATTTTAATTTTTCAAATCTCAAAAAAACTTATAAAAATTCACAAAGTACTTATATAAAATCTAAAAACTTTAATAAAACACAATTTTAGTTTTGTAATATATCAAAATATTAAATGAAAAATCGATTTTTCTGTTTTAAATCTAAAAAACTTATAAAAATTCACAAAATACTTATCTAAAATCTAAAAACTTGAATGAAACAGGATTTGATTTTTGTAATTTCGAAATTCATTTTTCAATTTATTTATTTTTTATATTTATGGAAAAATACCTAGATTAGATCTACTTTAAAGAAATCAAATTAGTTTACAGATTTTAAAAATAGTTTTATAAAATACGATGGGACTTTTGCAATTCAAAATATTATTTTCAAAATAATTTTCCAAAAGTATAGAATTATAAAAATAATTTTGCAAAATAAAAAATAATTTTACAAAACTAATATTGAAAATGCATAAGTATTTTAATTTTACAAAAGTCTTCTGTAAAGGAGATTTTGTAGAATCTAGATGCGGCGTGTCATGACTTATAATCGAAGAAGAAATGGAGTCAGATCGAGATGAATGTATAGCCACATACTTTGAAGACGGTTTTACGTACAAGGAGATCGGCATGTTGTTAAAGTTCCGTCATGGAATTACACTTTCGGAGAGACAGATCAAGAGGGATTTAAAGAAGATGGGGCTCTCAAGAAAATTCGATAAAACTGCCATTGGCACAGTTGCTGACGCTATCATTCAAGAGATAGATCATGGCAGTGGGTCAGCAATGGGATACCGGAGTATGCATGGCAAAATCACAAAAGTCCATGGGTAAGTCAATTGATTGATCAATCTCCACAATTTTACCATCGGGGAAGTATCAATGTCCTGATTCCGGAATCGAGAATAGTATCTGGTACCCCGAATCCCGATTGTAAAATTGTGGAGATTGGATTTGAAAAATCAGCCCCACATTTATGAGGTACATGTATGGGAAGGCATAGGCTGGAATGTGATTCCGCCAATCAGATCACTTTAAGGCCAGCAACTATTCTGCCGTCAACTGAATACTTTTCTTGAAAATACCTACTGTATGCTGCCCATCAAGTCAGTTCAACATACACCAGTACTCAATACATGTTACCTAGGTCATCTCAGTACCTGTACCTGTCGCTTAGTTTTCATTGAAGGCAAACTCAATTATTAAAAAGATGTCATCATGACGTTTGAAACCGTTGCCACTTGTGGCATAAGTTAAAAAAGTTGTGTCGTATCTTAATCTCAGTACATGTATTTTCCCCTTTTTGGTCCTCGTCATCTCATTTTCTGGTATATGTCACCTCAGAGTGCTGTTGTTTCATTTTCTGTTACCCATCAATTCAGTTGTTCCCGTCAACTCAGTTTTGTACCTGTCATCCCGCCCAATAAGATACTCATAAAGTTCTTTACCATTATACTGTATTTCACTATTTTATCTCCCCTTTTTCTGGCATAAAATAAAGTATGACAGCTTTTGTGAATTGCAGGCTGAAAACAGATCATGAAACAATTCGCCGTTTGCTCTCAGTTCTTGACCCAGAAGGTGTACACAAACGATCAACGAGACGCTTACAAAGGCGACAATATACATCTGAAGGGAGCAACTATATATGGCATATTGATGGCTGGGATAAACTAACTCCATATGGTTTAACTGTCCATGGATGCTTGGATGGATTCAGTAGAAGAATATTGTGGCTCAAAGCAGGATCTTCAAATAAAAACTCTATGTTAATTTGCAAATACTTTTGCGATTGTGTTAAAAATGTAAATGGTATTCCAAAGATTGTTCGCGCAGATCGGGGGACTGAGAATGTCAAGGTTGAACTGCTTCAAACTGTTCTACGCTCTGTAAATGATGACTGTTCATGTAAAGTTGCATTTCTGTATGGAAAATCAACTGCAAACCAGAGAATAGAAAGTTTCTGGAGTAAATTTCCAATATATGGAGCAGCAATGTGGATATCTCACTGCCGCCAGCTGTTAGATGTTGGCATTATTGACAATTCAAACATACTAGACATTGAGTGTATGAGATATTGTTACATGGATCTACTGCAAAGAGAACTTGACACAACGCAAAGAATGTGGAATACACACCATATTCAAAAATCAAAATCTGTCAGTTCAGTTAATGGGAAACCAGATATTCTGTACTTTGCCCCTGAAGAATTTGGACATAAGGATGTGTTGCAAAAGATTGACCAAGAAATATTTGCTCAGTTAGAATCTGACAATACTTGTGTTGTAGAAACTAACAAGGAACACTTCAAAGAATTATTCCAAATGCTTATGGAGGAAAGTGGAAAATCAACCCCTAACACATTAGAGGAGGCAAGAGAGTTGCTGGTTTTTCTGTTAGATAAAATTAATCATGAACTGCAACAATAATCCATTGAATAAGCTTATTCACATCAGTAGGCTTTCAGATTTTTTGAATCAAGCCTGAAGTGTTGATGTTTTACAATTCTGTATAATTTGGTCGTAAAGCTGTTAATTGTAATGATTTTTCAAGTGGTTGGAAGTTTTCAGGTAGTTTGTCGGTGCAAGGGTTTTTTCAAAATATCACCAAATGGCTAACTCCTACTTTGAATTGCAATTCTTTCATTTCTATGTCAGTGCATCCATCTGTTTTTTTGTTGAAAATACAAGAGGTGAGTGAGTGAACAGCCAATTTGAAATTGTTAAATGGATGTTATAAAAAATGACTTTGGGTGCATTAGACTAGTATTATGCAATGCAATTATATGAAATACTGTGTAATTAGCTGGAATTGGACACCTTTCCTTGCATAACATGAGCTCCTCTTTCGGTGGGATAATAATCGTATTGAATATATTGATAATGTTCATTCATTTCCAGTTTTTATGTCACCACCAAAAGTGGTGACATATTGTTATGGTCTCGTGGTCTGTTTTTTGTTACGGCGGTTGGTGTCTGGTATCTGGTCTGTAACAAATTCTTACAACTTTCAATAACTTTACAAATACTGTTTAGACTGACTTCAATTTTTTTCTGAAGCATCTACAAGGTCTTAGAAGTGCATATCTGACTTAAAATATGAGATTTGACCTTCAATGACCTTCTCAAGATCAACAAAAAAAGGTCAAAAAGGTCTTTTTTCAACTTGCTTCAAATTGACAAAATTTTTTTCCAAATCATCTACAAGTTCTCAGGAATTCAAATCTGACTTTAGATTTACGATTTGACCTTTAATGACCTTCTCAAGGTCAAAACGGTCTTTTTTACTCTGCTTCAAATTGCACAATTTTTTTTTCAAA